CCCCAAAAAATAGTATCGGTAATTAGGTATGTAGGCCCCTACCATCGCTTGCTGAAGAAAGGTCAGACGTCGGGTTGTGTTTGGGGGTTTAGGGTTTAGGGTTTAGGGTTTAGGGTTTAGGGGTTTAGGGTTTAGGGTTTAGGGTTTAGGAAGATCCCACTCTGCTCGGCGACAGGCTTTAGCGTGTAGGGTTTCGGGGTATGCCATAAACGGCCCTAGACCCCAAACCCTAAGCTCTACCTGGACCCCAAAGAACCTACCCCTTTTAGGGTTCCTTATCATGATTTCTTTATATGAGTCCTTAGGGTTCCTTATCATGATTTCTTTATATGAGTCCTTAAGAAAGTAAGTTCTTTGGGGTTAAGGTAAGCCCTAACTAGGGCAACTGGGTTTCGGCATTAGGGCTAGGCTCTCCCTGTGTCTTGAAGCCGAGATGTTCAAGCCCAGGGCGCTGTCAGGTTCAGAGTTTCGGGCTCAGGGTCTATGGGGTTTAGGGTTTATAGGGGTTTAGGGGTTTACGGGTTTAGGGTTTAGGGTTTAGGGGTTTAGGGGTTTACGGGTTTAGGGGTTTACGGGTTTACGGGTTTAGGGTCCGGTCCAGGGGTTAGGGTGCGGGCCCCTCCTTTTTTTTTCCCTTTCAGGACCAGCTGGATTATGCACACTGCACAAGACTCACAAGACGTCTATGTACGGGTTGAAGGAACCGCGAAAGGTTCGAGGGATCCCTCCTTTTAGGGTTTTGAGTTCCGCCTCAACTAAGTAGATAGTCGGCCAAAGCCTCTCAGACTGCAATCCACGATTTCGCAAGCGACCCCCCAACCACCCCCCTTTCCTAGTAGGAGTTCCCTAAACCCTCTCAATAAGGTTTTTAATCGAGCCATAAGTAAGGTTAGGCAGGGTCCTCTTTAAGGGGCCTCCCTAATACTACCCAGGACATAGCCAACTTCTCAGTGCACACCCGGCAGCCCTGATCCCACGATGCCTTTCATTCAAACGCTCTCTGCGTGCGACGGCCGGTCACGCTGTCTGCTTTTGGCCGAGTCAGTGGAAGGGAACGCCACACCCCCGCAGACGATCTAACAAACGCTATGCAATGATGCAGTTTAACTTTATGTTTACCTCTACAACTAGTTGTGTATGTATGCCACTATATATGTATGTATGTATGTATGTATGTATGTACGTATGTATGTATGTAGGTAGGTGGGTATGTATGTATGTACTGTATGTATGCATGTAGGTATGCATGTACGTATATGTCTGTATGTACGTACATACATGCGCACACACTGTACGCAATTCCTGCGCAACGGTATGTAGTCGGATCAAGGGTATACTGCCCCACTACCGTACATGTCATGCCACACCCCCGGACCCTATGCTGGTCCTGAACCGCATAATCCTAAAACGTTAAACCCTCTCCAAACCTTATATAGATCTTAAAGACCCTAATTAGCCCAGTACGTGAGCATAGTGCATAGTGAATATACCTTGAATCACACCTAAAATCGTCCCCTGTATAAACACCCCCTTTCGGGAGTTGAGACTATACCTATAGTCTCCATTGCAGTTGTTTTGTTGGTTAACCTGTACATATGGCTAGGATCCTACAATATAAGTTGGTTAACCGATTAATTAACCAAAAAAGGAACTACAATAGAGACTATAGGGAGCTCAGGTTATGCTTACGGGAAGACTCTTCGAAGCTCGATGCTCTTCCGGCACTTCTGTAGCACTCGCTGCACGTCTCGTGGGAGACGTTGTACGCGATCAAGTTTTGGCGGAACCTCGGTGGTCGAGTAGCAGGCTAGGGCCTACCTGAGGATCCAAAAACCCTACTACTTCTAGGGAACATACCCCAATAAGTAAGGGGTCATAAGCTACTACTTTGTGCGGTTTGGGGATACAGGTACAGTTTCACGCCTCCTTGAGGGTTAAGGATAACTGGTTACTGACTGGGCTTCAAGCACGACTACTGTACTTCGACTACTGTATGTCGACTATGCCACCATGCTACGACGATCGTACTAACTACCATTATGCGACTTTGCTGCATATGCCCCTGCAATCAGTGAATACGATTGTACCGCGATGAACTACCAAGGAACACGTCCAGGGCTGCAGCATAAACCACCTCGTCAACATCGTCGTGCCAGCCGCGAAGCTCAGAGGTGTCGTAGTCCAGTTCGGCAGACTTCCCGGGGTAGCTTGGGTTAGCGTTTTCGAAATCTGAGGCCTTACAGGCTCCCCCAAACATCTTGTGGAGCAGGCACATGGACAAGTCCCACTCTTCTGTGATGCCTACAAATGCGAAACCTTCACGTACCCTGCGCGCTGCTTCCTCTGCATCTGCCTGCGTCATCCGGGGTCGCATTGGATCGAGTGTCTGAGTGGTCGGGTGCTCTGTCACTAGCTGGTATGTCATCCCGCCTTTCCAACCCTCAGCAAACTCCAAAATGGGCACCTTTGGCAGGCCACGCAAGGAAGCTGTACAGTTCTCCATGTCCAGGTCGGGATCCGAGATCATGTCCTCCAGGTGGTCGATGTAGTCGACCGCCGCGAAGTTGTTGAAGTCGTCGTGGTAGCCAGAGAGGATGCGCTGATCGGGATCCCGGAACATCCCCACCAAGTGGCCTTTCTGGGCCGAAAAGTTCACCATGGGGTGGTGTGGCAAGGAGGTGTTACGAGGACAGGAGAACTTCTCCTCCTGGCAGAGCTTCACGCAGTAGTCGAGGCCAAACACCTGTTTAGGGTTTAGTTTAGAGTTTAATTTTAGCTACCATAATAAAGAAACCATATTATGTACTATAGATCCCTATTTATGGCAACTTCGATTGAATCCCAACAAGAACCCAGTCACGCAGTAGTCACTAGTCTTTGTACCAGACCTCCAACCAGCAGGGGCCGAGGAGCTCCTCGTCCAGGGTAAGGTCGCCAAGCAGCGGGCAGACTCCGGGCAGGTGGACCAGCGCGTTGATGAGAGAGCTGCCGCATTTCGGGAAGTGAAGCCTGGGCTCTTGCTAAGGGGATGTTAATTTCATAGTTACTCTAATATAGGGATCTGTAGTAAATCATATGGTCTCCTTATTAAGGTAACTCAAATTATATCCCCTAAACCCTAAACCCTAAAAACCCTAAACCCTAAAAACCCCTAAACCCTAAAAGCCCTAATCCCTTAACCCTAAACCCTAAACCCTAGGCCCTAAACCTTAGCAAGAGCCCAGAGGCCAATCCAAAGGCTCGGCCTTCTCCAAGCGAAGCTCTCTTGGCCCACCTGACTGGTTCTTAGCTTAGGAATGGGGGACTGGGTTACGGAGGTTCCTTTAAGGGTCCTTTAAAAAGGCTCTAAGGGATCTACAAGAGGGTCTTGGGGTGTTGGGGTTTAGGGTTTAGGGTTCTTAGTAGGGTTTAGGGATAAGGGTTTAGGGTTTAGGGTTTGGGGTTTAGGGTTAGGGAATGGGGGAATGGGGTTATTGGGACTACTATAGCGGACCTTGAGGTTCTAGAAGCTTTCCTTTAAGGGTTCTATAGGGATTCCTTTAAGGGTTCTTAGTAGGGAACGGGGGAATGGGTTCTTGGGACTACTATAAGGGACCTTAAGGGACTATCATATGGATCCACTCCCCCATTCCCTACTAAGAACAAGAGAGCCACTGAGGACCATCTTGTGCTGCAGCAGTTGCATGGAAGACTCGCGAGTTGCGAGTGCTTTCCTGGGCTCTTGCTAAGGGATTAGGGTTTAGGGTTTAGGTGATATAAATTTAAGTTACCATAAATAAGGAAACCATATTGTTTACTATAGATCCCTATTTATGGCAACTTAAAATCAAAATCCCTGAACAAGAGCCCAGTTTCCCGGGGAAGGCCACCAAGAGCAAGAGAAAAGAAAGCATGGCGTGCCTCTGCGGGGCTGGGGAGGGGTTCAGTCTCGAGCTGATTGCTACGGCACAGTATGACCAGGCCTCTCTGCAGGGGTTGTGGGCTTAGGGCTGGACAGTCTTCCGAAACAGCAATGAGGCTGGACGAGGCAGTCGGTAGAGAGAAACAAAAGGCCTTTGGGGTAGCACGCACCCAGTACATGTAACCGTCGGAGCAGAAGAAATTATGCACCTGGAAGTGGTAGGTTGATGAATGCCAACCTGAACACCCGACTCCTCTCTATGTGCGTATGGCTGGACTGAGGATTTTTAGGAGAACGATCGAGGCGGTCCAAACAACCCGACAGTTCAGCCCTCAATCGTTAGAACATGCCTTCCGGGAAATAACAAGTTATACAAAACCCTAACGCTCTAAGTAAGGGATGCTACTCCTAATTACTGACAGCCTGTAACCTGGAATCAACTTCTGTAAGGGGCCTTAATCACTAGAAGTCGGCATCCAGGTATATATAATGGTAGAACTGTGTACTTAGAATAAGGTTTTTAGGTAGCCTAGCTATGGTGTTAGGATAGGGTTTTCGGGCAGTTTCGTAGGGTAACTTTACGTGTGCCCTTTTTCCTTACTACTTGGCGTTTATAAGGGAACCCCAAAAAAGGAAAAAGGGCAAAAGGGTCCTACTGGGGAACCTAGTGTATAGTATACTTCCAATGAGGACCCTCAAATGGATGCTGGTCAGGTGTACTCTTGGGAAAGCAAGGTTTTGCGAAGTCTTGGGGGTATAGGGGCTTAAGGTCCAAGCTTTTTGGGTTTATAAGGCTTAGGGTTATTAAGGGTTCAGAGGGTTTGGGCCAGAGGGGCCAGAGGGGTGTAGGGTTGAGGGCTTGGGGTAATAGGATTCAGAAGTATATAAGGTTTAGGGACTTGGTTTCCCAGTAGCCCCTTAGAAATGAGGGTGCCCTTTTTCCTTACTACTTGGCTTTACTAAGGGAACCCAAGAAAAAAGAAAAAGGGCAAAAGGGTCCTACCGGGAAACCTAGGGGACTATCTACGTGCAGCGTTTGGCAACGCTAAACCTAGCAAGAGCGGCCAACCCCCCAAACCTCCTAAACCCTCAACCCTAGACCCTAAACTCTAAACCCTAGACTCTAAACCCTAAATCTCTAAACCCTCAACCCTAAACCCTAAACTCTAGCTGCTGTTTTGTGCTTCGGGCAGGC